TAATTTCACAAGTCAAACTTAATTTTCTAATTTGAGCCAAAAGATACATCTCTTTAACCATAAAGAAAGATAAATATAGAGGTTTCTTATTCAAAGCATCGACCACTATTTTAGATTTACCTAGATAACAACTAAGATTAAAATCCTAATCCTTACAATTTCCAACTATCTCTTCTGTTTCATATTCAACTCCTTCGGATCAAACAGATATTTACGATCCTTATGATCACTAAATACCTCAAACTTAGAATTATACTAGTAATGTCTCCAAAATCTCAAGCGTAACTATTACAACCTCTAATTCAAGGTCACGGGTAAGGTAATTTCTCTCATGAATTTTCCATTACCTAGATGCTTAAAAACATAACTTACTACCTTTTTCTTGCATCAATAATCCACTCAAACCTGTCTTCAAAGCATTACTATATACCACATAAGACTTACTAGAATCTGATAATATTAACATTAGTCAATTTTTTTCCTTAAGAGTTTGGAAAATACTCTCACACTTACTATTCCTTAAAAGCAACTATCTCTTCCTGATCAATCCAGTCAAAGGTAAGGTTATCTAAGAAATTTCCTCAATAAATCTCCTATAATAATAAGTTAATTCAAGAAAACTCATATCCCCACTAACTGACTTTGGTATCTCTCACTTAAACACAACTTCTACCACAGATAGATCTACATTATATCTCCACTAGAAATTACAAGACCTAGAAAGTTCACCTCATACAATAGAAATTCATACTTAGATAACTTGGCGTAAGGCTGTCTTGGATATATCTTCACCCTTAATTCTAATATGATGATATCAGATCCTAAGGTCAATCTCACTAAACACACAACCTTCATTAATTCATCCCTAAAGTCATCTATCCACATATCAACATACATGCATATCAAGTCATATTAGAATGCCTACTTTAAACCTTCATATATACCATCCATAAGCATGTACATGAACAACCTTTACCACATAGCATCATACAACCTTAAACAACCTCTCAATCCACATGAAAACATCCCAAAACATCTTAACAAAGTCAATTATTATCCTTGCATTGCCTACTAACCCGAAAACATTATTATACAGCCTAACTTCTCCTCGCAACAACTATCAAAGAAAACAACACATAGAGTTCTACTCATCCACGTGATCTCAACCTATCACCAAAGAAAGCTAAATGAATAAGCTACAACCATGGTAGTAAGTATCGGATGTATCGCGATTCGTATTGTACGATACGATACGATTTCGAGCTTCCGTGATACGAATCGCAAGTTGTCTCGTTTTTAATTAAGAATCGCATGTGAATCGTGCGTATCGTTGCGTGAATCGGAAAAATCGCGATTCTGGACGAAATCGCACGATTTCGAAACAGCGGGTCACGCCTCGAAACTGGATCGAGTCACGCGCGACCTGATTCTGGAAACCCTAAAAAAAATGCAGAAAAGAGAGGGAAAGTGCCGATCCTCCACCGATCTGTCTTCTTCTCCGACGAATCTCCGTCGATCTATCTTCTCTGACAGCGACTGTGTCTCCTCCGGCGGTGACTCTGTCATCTCCGGCATATGCAACCTGTCTTCTTCAAAGAAAAGTTGGGCCAAATGGGCCCAAATTTTATTTTATCTTTTGATTTGGCCTTCACTATTTTTTTTTTAAGAAGGTAACTTCTCTTTATTATTAATTATTATTATAATTCAGATAATATTTTAAGTAATAAAAAATTTAATATAAAACCTTAAATATTTTGTTTTCTTAATTTTTTTATTATTTTGTTTAACTACTATAAATTTTAATTATTGAAATTATTTAATGTATAAATTAAGTTATGTTTCTATTTTTATATGTATATCATTAATTATATGTATTATAAATTATTTAATATTTATATATATATGTAAAAATAAATAAATTAGAATATGTTTATATATTATTAACTATATATTAATGTATGATTTTATTTTTTTTATATTTGTTTATATATATATATATATATGTTTTTATTGATCATGAATCTTACGATTCACGATACGATTCGATTCACGATTCAAAATATAAGCTTTCCGATACACTATTTGTATCCCGATTCAACTACCATGGCTACAACTCTTAGGGAGACATGGGATTTTAAAAGGATCATCTTCTTAGCTAAAAATTCAAAAATCACCACAAATATATTCAACGCTTACAACTAGACCTTTGATCACCAAAGTAGCTATAACTGGGGTGCAAACATCCCCTACACAATAACGCATCAACATCTAGGCCACAAAATACCTCAATCCTTCCAAACTTACTCCTTTCCACAAATTCATATCAAAGTTTCCCACTACAAACCAAACAACTCACATATTCAGTACAAAAGACTAAGAAAATAAAATTCACATGCAACCATCAAACTCTAGAAATCATCAACACTTCAATCTCTCCTTAAGAATACTAAAACTCCAATTCTCAACATACATCATCCTTGGATTCAATCGCGACAACTGTAGCTTTCAAAAATTTCACCAATCGTAAACTCTTAATACACTAAAAAAAAATCAATGTCTTACCAAAATCTAAGGCCTCATAGTCCCTACAATATTAGCACAATATCTCGTCTACTACTCGCACATATGCTTGCAACACAAGCGATATCACTCAGCCACTACTTCTTACATAAGCAAGAAGTATCAAACAAATAAGCAATCATAATAATGAAGAAGAGCAGTCATAATGGTATTAGCTAACACTATCATAACTATCATTCCTCGAATTACAAAATAACTTAACAATATCAAACTCTACAATATCAGTACAAGGAGAACATCATCATCATCATTATCAAAGCAAAGCATCATCAAAGTATACAACAAACAAAACA